GGGGTAGGGGCCACGACTGTCCTCACTTAACAGTGGCAGTGTGGATCAGCCACAACACAAAGGTGGGCAAACCACTGACTGAGGGACAATTGGCTCTGTGTTCTCCACGAAGATTACAGGCAAGAACACAGATCTACTTTACTGCTGCCAACAGCACTGCTGGATTCTACCACTGCCCAAAAAGATACGGCTCAAAGAAGGCGCGAGCTATTTATTTTCGACACACAAGAAAGAGCTTGACAAGCAATGGAAAGAGAATTCAAACTAGAAATTAGTTTAATCCTGCATTTTGAGATCCTGATTTTACATCAGGGTTGGAGAGGGTTTTTTGAGGCAAATGGAAGCACCTGGTAAATGACATTGCTTATATTCCACAGAATAGCTCTCCCCACAGTAAGTCTGCACCAGACTATGACAAATAAATCTTGCCAGACGATTATTTCACATGGCCTTAATGAAATTAATGTAGCAGTGATGAAATCAAGGACATTTTCTGTCAGTAAACCACTTCTAGTCTAGAAGAGAACTTTATATTTTGAGCGCTGGCTGTAACAAATAAACCATTTCTGCTAAAACAACATCAACACAACATGCACAATTCCTCAAGCAGAATTCACTTCCTTTTTTATAAACACTTTCCAAGATACACATTTAATATTTATTGGCATTTTGAGCCTTTTTTTCACTCCATTTAAAGTAATTACTCTTGTGCTAGCTTTTTGTAGAACAAAAGCACCTGCATTTGACACCTACATTGCTCCAGAATACCAACCCACATGTTTCTTTTTGAGTCTTTATGTGTAGAACAGCAGTACTTCCCAGAAGTTTAGTTATTTCTCTTTGGAACTAGTTTACAAATTCTGAGAGCAACAGAATAGTGACTTACAGTCTAGAAAGAGCAGGAATATTAACATGTGTTCATTTAAGAGAGTTACAACCCCTGTGCAACAAGCAGAACTGCCACAGAGACATGACAATTTAACAAAATATTCACCATCACACTGGGCAGCAATTAGATGATGTGACATGTTATGCCAGAGGACTGCATTGTTCTAACAAAGGGGAGCCATCCAGGAGGCATGAAACTACCCAGTGAACAACAGAATAGGTTTGGATAAGCAGTCTGGGAGCAATAGAGTATCCATACAATGGATATACTATTTCCAACTTTATACTTGGTATAGACATGCATTTTTTTCCACTGCTGGAAGCTAACCAATAAAGCTAAAAGATGACCAGAGAGCAAAACAGTAATCTGGAAGAGGCTGAATTAGGAAGGCAAAACCACTTTTATACAAGCAAAACTGGAAGGAGGAAATATTACTAGCTGAAAATAAAGGAGCATGTTAAGCTCTGTGGTGGATTCTGCAGGCTGCTAGACCTGTGGGACTTCTGCATGGAACATTGTGAGATGGATACTTACTTTAAAAAGCAAAATTCCTTCTAAATAAACAATGAACTACTTTAAGAAGATCATCTGGAGGGCAAAGCAGTGTTCACTAACATTATTTCTTCCCTGAGACAAGCCTGTGAAGGTAATCACTGCCAGACTCAGGTAGAACACTGCCCAAAGGCTGGCCTTTGAGCTGGAAAAAAATTACAGGAACCCATCTTCAGAAAGGCTTATGATTAGCATTACTGACCTGGAGGGGAGACACCTGATGCTAACAGGAGTCTTCTTACCCAAATGTGCTGAATATAGTCCTTTTGAAAATATATGCCAAAGCCAACTGTTGGTACAGCATTCATTTGCTTCTTTTAAAAGCATACCATCATTGACAGAATGCAAAATCACTAAGTTTCATCCTGGGCAGTCTCACCCCATAGAGAAGTGTCAGCAACTTTTCAGATGATACCTTCCATGTAAAGGTTGCTATTTCTATCTTTTACAGTCAGGGCAAGACAGTGTATTTCTTCTGGCTCAGCCCAGCTTGCAAGATGTTCAGCATAGTTGGCTCTCATTCTTCTTTTATGAAGTCTTCGTCTGTCATTGCTTGACAATACATTCAAGTGCTCAAATTCAGTCAGTGATTCAGTGACTGGAATGTAATGGATTTGTTACTACAGGCCACCTTTCAAGAAGTCATCTTCCCAAGTTCGTTTTGTGCCTTTTGGATACCCAGCTCTTCAATAGCTCAGTCCAAACCACTGCATCTTTCACTGTATTCAGTGCCTACACTTCACATCCCTCCTCCCTGAGCACCACATCAACCTCTGAAATGTACAGTAAATGTTTAAACACATGAATAAAGGGCACTTTCAGACACATTTGGGTCAGTGTATGAAGTTCATGCCAAAGGATGTTGTGTGTTAGTTGAGCAATGCAGTACATTTTTTCCAACTGCTTCAGCCAACAGCCAACCACATGAACTATCCTAAAAAATTTTCTTCTTTAAAATTTGTAATAAAAGGATTTAATATAAAATAAAAAAAGCAGCAACTAACTCATTTTAATTACATACAGAGATTAGGGAAACAGTATGAGATGGCTGTAGTTTGGGTCAGCTAAGTCTTGAATTTTTTACATCTTACGCTTTCTTTTATTTAGGATATACATCTAGGTAATGCTTCTAGGGTTTTTTTCTGCCATCTACGGAGCCCTAAGGTCCTTTAATGTAGCTTTCATCATCTTTTCTCAATGCATGCCATCAAACTGTGCTTCCAAAAAGAGATGTCATTAGGAAGGGAGCCCCCAGGCACCACATTACAGTTGCCTGGTTCATATAAATGTGAATTGGGAAAAATAATCAACCACTTTTAAATACAGCTTTAAAATCATGCAGTTGAACTTGCCTACACTATTTACATGAAACATCTTGTAGTCATTCCATACAGTAGTAAAATTAGCATTTTTCTATAAGGCAGTAGCAAGTGGAGACACACAATAGCATCAGGTCTTTGTCCCTTCAAAGAGTTTTCACAAAGGAGTAAAGCCCTTCTAGCACAAACTGCACTAGAAAGCCTAAAATGGTTCCAAATTTGGTACAAACTATAGATGTACTCTGTTATTTTTGCTCTCCCCCTCTTCATTGGATTCTCATTCCTTTTTTTCAGAAACACTTGTTTAATTCTATTTTTTAAGCTTTTATTTTTTTTTTCTTGCCTTGGAACTCTGACATTCTTTCTCCATTCCCTCACTCATGAGTTATTTGCTGGCTGATTAAGAAAAAGACCCACATGGAGACAGGGCAGTCACACAGCAGAGGCAAGAAGCCAGCCCCACTCCTCCATCCCTGCGTATCTGTGAATGAGTCTCCCTGTCAGCCTTGGTACCCACCCTGTGCGTGCAAGGAGCAAAGAGGGGCCCTTCCAAGGGCACACACTTTAGCAAGGCTGTGTCTAGGGCCAAGCATGAACCTGGGCCTTCACTACCAATACTAAATTGCTTCTACCAAAAACAGCCAATTCTCCAATTCTGCTACTCCTTGGCAAAGGTCTTTGTGCACATCAAAATTCACACCCACAGAAACAAAAGAGATAACAGTCTTATCAGCTTTGGGGAAATCAGATTACCAGACAGCACAAAGGAACCCACCCAGCAGCCCTCCAAGCTACTTCGCATACAATGCTTGCTATGTTTTGTCCTCCCCTGAAACATAAATAATCAGTAACTGCTGGGGGAAAGATCCAGGACATGATGGACCAGTTGGTCAATTGGACAAGGCAAACACTCTTCTCCTGACATAAACAACCTCTTCCTCTGTCTTGTGTATCTTTAGGTGTTTTTGTAGTCTTCAACAAACATCTAATCTCCAACAGTACAATGTGACCTTTCACTGTATGAGGGGTTTTTACTTTGTTTATTACTTTAAAACCCTAAAACACAATTCAGCAGCCACTGGGTTATTTCCTGCTTCAGTCATACCTATGTTCACAATCTAAAGAGCAGAACTGGCTTCATTTTAAGTGTTTCCATTACTAGTTTCCACTTCATTCTCAAAGAAGCACAGTCTTAGCTCCTCACATACACAAAGCAAATAACCTCAAAAGCACAGGCAACAAAGCTATTTTAAATGGCAACATGTAGTTTGCAATAAAAACATTATATGCTGATACAGCACTGAAAGATCCTAAAGCATTCAAGCTCACATTTACACAGCCTCAATCTTCCTATGACCTGCCTTTGCTCTGTTTAGACAACATTCCACTCAGCTTCTGGACTAAACCTGTGGAGGCTGCTCTCTCTTGCTACTGAGAATGCAAACTATCTAAAGGTAATGATACACAGGTTTAGAACACTATTTAAGCACAGGCAATTCCAAATCAAAGTTGGTTTTCCAGCAATGCAATAGGATTTTCTGCAGTTTGGCTGAGAAACTCATCTAGTATGAAATCACCAGATGATACTAGAGTAGCTTTAATTTTTGCACAGAACAGACAAATTCCTTGTTTTGAAAGGTCATGACAGTAAATTGCACGGAATTCAATTTACCTCCCTCAGATGGATGAGGGTCTGACTCAAACAGAGAACAGTGGAAGCCTTTGGCTCCAGGAAGTCTGTGCTGATTCAAACCTACTCTGAGGCAGGCAAATTGTCCTTCCTCTCAGCTATACATTATCACAGCTTGTGATTTTCAACTGATCTTTTCCCCCAGATGTCATATTGTAGCAAATTGTGTCATAGATGATCATCAAAACAATGGTCATTGCAAGAAAAATTTGTTTTTAACCAGGGAGTCACCAAATATAAAATTACTTGTGATACAGACATTGTCATAGTTGTCTCACCCTCATTTCTCCACATCTAAAGTGAAATACAAAAAACTACAGGAAACAACACCCTCATCACAATACAGAAGAACAAATACTGGAAAAGAAAGCAAGTGTAAGGATTACAGAAAGACTGTGAAGACAGAAAGTAAAAGAATACCCTCCCCAGGAGGGGAGTGACACACTTGTAACACTTGTGATTTAACAGGCTCCTTGCGTACAATTGAGAACAACAGCTGGTGAGCAGCTCATTCCTGCCTGGATGCTTGGCACCAGGCAACAGCTCTTACCTAAAGCTTTCTGGGTATTCAACAACAGCCATGTTGATAACATCCAGTGCATGCTGATAGTGCTTCTGAGCTGAAAAGAGGAGGGCCAGTAGATGAAGTGAATTCATGTCATCTTTGCACAATTGCAGGGCTTCTTGAAGATGGTCTATAGCATCTGAAATCTAGAAGGAGATGGGGTAGAAATAACCAGAGAACACATCACTCTTTCAGTCCTACATTATCCCTCAAAAATAAGAACAAACAGAGTAAGTAGAAATTCTGAAGAAGTTTTGCTTAGGCACCTTTTTTATCAGAACAGGCTGCCAAAATTAACAGACTGCACTGCTTGAAAAAAAACCCACACATTCCAGAGAAAGAAGTCTGCAGCATTACTAAATCACTGCTTATAAACAAGAGCAGCAGACCTGATCCCATCAACCCCCTCATCCTTTGGCATGGTGATTCTATGATGTAAACATATCCACCACAGATGCCCAAATCTCAGCTCCATTTTCTAGGATGAGTGGCTGGCTCTTCAGCTGGGGGTGAACACTGCACATCTCTGCTGCGTTTTGTCTCTCATAATGGCCCAAGAAAGTCTTTCATGATTTGGATCAAGAACATAAAAATGAAATTTGAATGTTCAAGGGTAAAAGAGTCAAGATTTAAAATGCTGTCAAAAAAAGAAATATATTTGCAAGCAGTGATGTAAAGAGCAGTCCTGACAGTCACAGCAGCAGCATGTTATTAGAACCAAGTCTCACTTGGCAGAAAACTTAACATCTATAATGAATGCAAGTCTATCACATGCTCTTTGTGATCCAGTACACTATTTTAGAATATCTGGTCAAAAGGGAACTTCTTAGCAGATTTTCTTTAGTCTGTTTACTGTTAAGTTTTACATAGAGGATTTTCTTTAAGATTCTCTAGTGTCTCAAATTACTTTTACATAAATTATTGCATTTCTGTGGCTCTGGAAAGCTGCAGAAAACAAAGCATAAAAGTGTATAAATTGCTTTTCCTCATGTATGCTTTCCAGCTCCTTCTCTTAACGGATGGAGAATGCAGTTCCTTCTTTTCTATTATGAGAACTTCCCACCTAGCACAGCCTTACAGACATTCTACCCTGGCAAACCACCAGTGTCAAATTCCCACCGCCTCCACAGACCTCTCACAAAAACAAGAAGCACATAACTAAGGAAAGCAACAATGACACCACCTGCAGCTACTACAGAGGTTGCTGATTACCTGAAGTCCAGGTATCCTTCTGGGAGCAGTGTGTTTTCTGTTCATAGGACAACTTCATCCAAATGTCCAAGTGACATTTCTCTGTTGCTGTGCACACATGAGCCATGGTACTTAACTCTGTATTACTGGTGACTCCATGCAAGCCTGGAGATCAGTGTGACTGCTCCAGACATAACCCCAAACTGGCACTTGGCCCACAGCATCAAAACTGCTGAATGTCCTGGCTTGGATTCAGACTGGGATACATGACTGACTGCTCAGCTTTAATGAATTACTGCTTGTCAGTGGAGCTACTTTAACTACATGTGTTATTAAAGCCTACTGCAAGGGTAAACACGTTGACCTAATCACTCACGTTCCCTCAGCAGTTTACTAGAACGTATTTTCATACAATATAAAAATTCTAGCAATGACAATACAACTTGGAGCTAGGACCAGACAGTGGTGGGCCCAGATCTGCTTGTTCACAAAGCTGTTCATAGATATACCAGATGTATATAAATTTGACTTGCTAAAACAAAGCTGCTGTCAAGACTTCTTGCACTCAGGACTAAAAACCCTTCTATTTCTTTCTATTTCTCTGTCTCAGAGCTGCACAAGTACCCATAAAGAAAATACAAGTTTGGGGAAAAGTTAATTAGAAGAAAACCTGCAAATCAAACAACTGGAGAAGACTTGGAGCAACCTGTTCCAGATGATCCTGCTTTGAGCAGGGATTGAACTGGGCTATCTCTAAAGGTCCTCTTCAAACTATTCTATGATTAAGACTTGGGAAGGAGATCCTAATTTGCTAGTATGAATCAGGCAAAGAATTACACTTGCAACTAATGCCTGTACTGAGGGACTTCAAAACTGTAGGGGCGCTTGACCTTACTCGTGTGAGAAGATGCAAACTGAGACTTGCTTTACATGTTGAAAATGACTTAGGATCAAACTGCAGGTAGGTCCACACCCCTAAGAGAAGCTGGCCATCCAAGGAGTTCTCTGACTCTGTTGCAACATCCATGAAATAGAGCAGCAAAAAAGTGAGTTGTGGTCACTCCTGCAAACCTGTGTCTGCTGGAGAGGCAGCCACATACTGCTGGAGGAAATGTCATCTGAAGTAATTCTGTTCTGTAGCATGGGGCCTGCAATGGTTACATCTCATTTCAGTGCTTCCCTCAAGTATCAGAGTCACAGGCAATAGCTGGCCTTAAAAATTAATCATGCTTCCCTGGCACCTCATTTATTAACTTGAGTCCAAAAAGACTCCTTAGTGCTGTAACACCATTACTAGCCTACACAGTACTGCTGCATAATTAGAAACAGTGGACAAAAATAACATGAACTCTCTGCCTTTACAGAAAGCATTACGTGAAACAACAACCTGCAACAGACTAGATGCAATGAAATACAAACTAAATTTCTACATCAACAAAAGCAAGATATTTGGCAGCAGTCAACACAAAACTTCTTTTGAAAGATGTATTTTTATTTAAATAACTATATAATTTGAGAAAGATGGAAGCTGGTGTCACCCCAGATGGCACCCTGAAACGTTAGGGCTTTATCAGAGGCAGGCTGCCAGTTTAAAATTCCCTACCAGCAGTGCACTTTAAAATAATCTTATTTCAGCTGGACTGCAAGTCTAAGTAGGGCCTACAATTAGAAGAAGCTACAGTTCCCTGATTTATCATTCTGTTAACAAATATACCACATGTTTTGTGCGGCACACAGGTATCTTAACATCACACTGATTAGGGAGCAAAGATGCTGCAGTAGGCCAGAAATAGCATCTTGCAGCATTACCAAAATAATGCCACAATATGGATTGTTTAGGCTGCCTTTTATATAGTAGGATTTATTTCAATAATGGTATGTGTCTCCTTAAAAACAATGTTGATATGTCACAATTACATATAAAAGGTATAAAAAGGAAAACAGAGTAAGTGTAAAAAATACTTCCTAACAGTAGAATGAAATTGGGTATTTTAAATGGTAAATGAAACAGGAACCCTTAAGAGAAATTTTCAGGCCTTATAATTTCACGTCAGTTGACAGTTACACTTAATTAACCATTACAACTACCCACTCCGTCTCTTTTTATAGCATGGAAAGGCGAAAGCTTTATTGACTGGCAAGAGTTTCCATTGAAAACAGACTTGCTGCAGTTCACCAGAACCTCAGGAAAGTAGGCATACACCTATGGGTTATTACTTAGTTCTTCCTACAAGCCATTCTTGATCACCAGAACAATCTAGGCTAGGATGTAGGCAGAAAAGCAGCATGTTGCTTTTCAGCAGAGGAGGCAGTTGGTAATCTGGGAAAAAGACAGAACAGAACTACCTACACCCAAGGAGTCACTGAAAGAACCACCTCTTGAATACCTCCTAAAACAGAGCTCCTCTCTTGGGCAGTCAGCAGCCTCTCCTCCTTGAAACCAAACAAAAACTGGGCAAAACAGGTAAAATATTTTCTCTGCTCTCTTAACTGATGTTTATCTTAACTGTACATCCAGACACTTGGGAAGGAAGTAGGTGCTTTCTGGATAGTGCCACTTGAAACTTGAGGTCTCTTGGAAGTCCACAGGAAACTGGTGAGACTTACAGTGCTCAGCTGCTGACCCTTAGCCATCTTTCCCTTCCCATTTTCATGAAAAGAAAGGTTAGATCTAATCAAGTATTAAAATGGCATGATGCCTATATAAGATGTTTTTTACATATTGAGTACTGATTTACACGGCAGTCAAGGTCACAAACACCACCACCCCCAAAAAATCCGCATTCAACACTTAAAATTAACAAGAGTGTAGCTGACTCTAGAGAGTAATTTCCATAGAAACCGGTCTGCTTTTTAAAAAACAAGGCAATGCATTAAAATCAGTGAGCTTTAAAATGTTCATTCTACCTTGTTTTTGCTGATCCAAGTGCTGTTACCACAGAAACAGGAGAAGCAGCCGAACCAGGCACTGGGAGTGGGGAGCTGCAAGTCTCATTTGTCACTGGGCTCTGCCAGCTGCCAGCCAGGCACTGCAGGTGGAGATATCCACTGCAGCAGGTACAGACCTTGGCCTCCATGCACTTCAGCTCAGGGGGAAAACCAGACTGAGACTCTCCTTACAGAACAGGTTATTCTACACTGTGTTTGGCTGAAAAAGCCACTACAACACTCTGGGGCTGATGTAGACCCTCCCAGTCCTGCCAGTGACTCCAGTGGTCTTTAAGACATGCACACATACAATGCTCATTATCATCATTTTTTATCTTGATTGCTGGTGGTTTCAAATGCCAACTCTGCATGAACCTTTTATAACCATTCCTCCTCTGTCACATCCTCATCTCATGTCAGAGGGATGCCTATGTTTTTCCATTTCCCCTCTGCCTCGCCCAGTGGTGACAGAGACAAGTGCTATTGGAAATATTTTACAGCCTTCCAAGGAAGATGAATTGCTCCAGCTTTGCTTGGCACTCTACTGGTCAGCTGCCTCTCTTGCTTTGTTCCATGAAAACACTGTCTTATCTATGCAAGCTGATACCTATATTTTTCAATGCTGGGTACAGTTACCTTATTTATTGACCCTGACTATGGAAACAAAAAGGTCTATTTGTTGAGAAAAACACTGAGGTATTATATTATATTATAACCTACTATGTAGAAAAGGCCTGATTTATTGGTATTATAGCATTGCCTGATGAAAGCCCTAACTGTGATGTTCAATAGTTAATGCAATCTATCAAAAAAGGTATCATTTATCTTTCAGTTAATCAGAAAGAGAATATATTAGATACTTTAAATAATTAAGTATATTAAAAATGCATTACCAAATGTTTATCATTAAGTAAACTGGCAAAAGAAGAGTAGGGTATTTTACAGCAGTCTAAAAATAAAGAAGTCTCAGGTATCTCCTCTCTGTCCAAGCATGCATTAAAGATTTATATCTCACTTGATGGGAGAAGAGCAGGAGCACCATGGCAGGGGTCAGGCTGACACTACACAATACACTGAGATCACACAGCTGTGGGAGCAGAGGCAACTGGCACAACATCGGGGATGAAAACACACAGGTGAACTAGACAAAAGAGGAAAGTGAACATGGGGACAAGAGACTGAATGGAAAGAACAGGAGGGAAGGGAAATGAAGCAACAAGAGAGATGAAACAACATGGCAAAGACAGGCTACAACCAGAAAAAAAAAAAGTAATGAGTTAATATGCCAGTAACAGTGAAAACAATAAAAAATCAATGACCACAAAAATCTTCATTTTTCAGGACATTTCAGCTGAAAAGCTGTAATTCTTCACTCATGGCAAGCAGAAGAGGGAGCAAATCAGACCATCTCCCTATGAGGCAAAAGCTGTGAGAGAAAAAAGGGTAGCTGGGTGTTTCTTAATGAAAGACCCTAAGCAAACTGCATCATAAAGCAGCCAGTAGGCAGATGAGAAAGTTAAATAAACCATTTTAATTATCCTTTCTTATTGCAGGCTCACAGCACACTGCTCTCATTATGAAAGGGTTACAAAAGTGACATTATCAAGAGGGTGCTCTCTTGGAACAATTAGTTTAACCTAATGAACACACAGCTCCCCTAATTAGCTCAGGAAAGTAAGAAATACCCAACTGTTCAACTCTGTAGTGTAGACTAGGGAGAGAAAACTGCAGCAAGCAGAAGGCCTGCCAAACAAAGAAACTACAATGATGAAATTTCAAATCTAGCTAGAGACGTATTTAAAAAACAGAAGCTGCTCCAAGACTTTAGCTTTAAAACAGAAAGGACCGAGAAATACAACACCCCAGTTTTAAGAAAAAGGGGCAGAAAAATAAAGCACAGCCCAAGTGGTTGGGGTTTTTTTTGAAAGGCAGTGCAGAGCATTTTCTGATCAGCTTCACTTTTATGAGTTAACACCTGCAGCAGCATTCAAACGCCAACTAATCCCACTCTCTGCAGAGCTCCAGTACGCGTCAGAGCCTGGCGTCAAACGTGCCCAAGTTTGGAATAAAGCGATCCCAGCGCGCGATCTGGCACCGCACGGAGCCGGGCACAACGGGACAGCCTCTGGAGCAGCCTGTGCGGGACAGTGACACCAGGGAGCAGCAACAAACACACCTCCGCATCCCACACACACAAGGCTGCTCCAAGACTGCTCAGGAGCCAGAGCTGAATACATTCCCCAGAGAAGGCCATTCCATGTGCCACAGAATTAGTATTTTTAGAGTAAGAATTAAAAAATATTTTACATAAACACATTCTGACTGCTTGTCACCGGTTACAATGCAGGAAGGAAGGGACCCTGTTTAGCAAGCCTGAGTCTTGTTCAACTGGACTGTCCTTCATCCTCCCATGACCCAGTGATTTCCAAATATTTCACATACCTGTCTGACAAGAGCCAGCTGCAGTGACAGGTAGAGGATGATCTGGTGATCTTCGGGGGCCAGGTCATGTGCTCTTTAAGGACAACCACATAAGACAAAAAGAAAAGTGACTGTTAGATTGCACTTCGCAGAACTCCTTCACCATGAGTCACATTAGCACAGAACAAAACCCAGTCTTCCCCCACAGAAAGCTAGTCCAGTAATGGGGAGCACACTGAAACTAGACAAAAAGCAGAACAGTGCTGCTCCGGCTAAGCCAGAATCCCAGGAAAAAGTATGAGAAACACAGCTGCCAGGATGTTATACAACTTACATGCTCCTTTATTAAATGCCACTTAATATTTTGGAACTTGGATAACTAATATGGAAAAAGTAGCTCTGAGTGCATAACAAACCTATCAAAGCATTATTTTAAATAATTCAGGTGATAGACATAGTTGTCTAAGTTGTTCCTATACTGCCACTTTTCAAACATTAAGAGAGGGTTGGATTAACACTGAAAAAGTAATCACTATGAGTATGTAGAGGACTAAAGATCAGGAGCCTGTGACACAAACTGGTGCTCAAACATACAAAACATTCTCTACCCTGCAGCTTCTAGTTTAATTTTTGACAGCAGACTCCTAATTTGGAAGGGGAAGACACTGAGAGAGGAATGATTTGATGACAGGAGCTGTGCCTGGACCAACACCAAGGCCCTTACTTGTCAAGCTTGGACTCTGAGATATCCCTTGCAGCCCACAGCAGGCACTACACTGAAGCCCTGGCTAGAGAAGGCTGCAGTGTCTCCAGAAGCACATGTGCAGGCCTTTAGCAAAGCCTTGTACAAGGCAGGGAACAGGAATGGACAGCCTAGGCAGAACTGCCCCCTCTCAGACTATGCTAGGCACAAAACTGCAGTGTGAATTTGCTAGCCTGTGGAGAAGCCATTACCAAGACAATGCTGGGATAGAGTCTTGGGGAACCCAATCTAGGAGGAAAGGTGGGGCAGCAGCTGATGCCACCTGGCAGCCCACTCCAGGAGCCAGTGGATTCTCCCCTTGTGACTCACAGAGCTCACTCACAGCTCTGCAGCGCAGGGAAATCATTTCACATGGGAGAAATGGGGAAGAGGAAGGCCCCTCATAGCCAGTTAACATTTCCTGACCTCTTTCTGGGCTGCATTCCAGGACACCAGGGAAACCTGCACCTGCACTGCCAGGCCCAAAGTGAGCACGATTAATGTCCTTATGAGGGAGAAACGACAGGCTGACAACACTGGTGGTTAAAACCCATGCCAAAACTATTGATTTGCTAATAATAAACAAGTAGCAATAAAATAATTCCTTCAGGAAACAAACCACACACCATTTTAATGGCAGCCACTTTTCAAATACCATCTTGGCCTGTGAGCAAGAAGATTTTGAAGCTGATTTTTATAACTAAAAGCTCTAGAACAAATTAATTTAGTACAGACTGAATATGTCCTGTAACTCTCTAAGTCAAGGTGGCACTCAAGTGTTCTGAAGCAATGCCAAAGACATCAACATGCAATTAGTACAGGTGAGTCACTAATTTCTCCTTCCACTTCAAAAAATACAAAAAAACTCCCAAACCCAAATAGTCACAAACCCCCAACCAAAAAAATCCCCAAACCCCCCCCCAAGATTGCAACACACAACAAAACTCCACAAGGTAGAACCCAGCTTTGCCCTAAGGTGTTAGACAGGGTGAGTCGCCTCTTTACAAAGTGTCTCTTGTGAAACCTTCAGTAGCCTCTCCAGCAATGAGTAACAGGGGAAAGTTCACAAGAGTATAGCAGATGAAATTAATGGTGCTCTTGGAAAGAAACAAAGGATTGTTACTTTACTGCTCATTTTCCTCAGAAGGAATTAGAAAAACATTTGGTGCAATCTTCCAGCTGAAAAGGCCCCTTACTGAGATGACTACAGGCCAAACTGTGGCCTGAGAGATCATACAGGCTCTTCAAAAAAAGACAAAAAGCAAGGAAGGTACAAAAAGGAAGGAAACCAAACTTAGGCATTTAGAAAACACTAGTAATCAGCTCACTGTCACATTCCTGTTGGCTGACGTTTGAGTAACTAATGTTTGGCTAGAAGCTTGTCTGCCTCCTAGGTAGAGTTAAGATACCATGAAAACAAGTCACAGCCAATGAGAAAGGTTACAGGACAAAAAACAAGGAAGTTGAAAAGCAGTGCAGCACCACAATTCCTTAAAATTGGTCAGCAGTTTATGTACGACACTGGAGTCCACAAACTAGTGTGACTTAAAAGTACGCTCCTCATCCAAATAGTGAATGAATAAATAGCTTTTAGAAGTTTTCTCTCTCAGATCTCCATAAGGTAAATACCCAGAATTGTATCTGTGGTTTCAGTTCTTGCACTCACTACAAAACCAGTGTAAGACAAACATGCTGGGCTCCTTCTTGGCCAGCATCAGCAAAACAACTAAGATCTTTTAACATTGTTCAAATTGTTTAACCTGTACTTTGAGATACCAGAGATCTCAAGTTTTTTTCACTTATGTAATTATGACAACAATAAACTCAGAATTAGATCCTTCAGCCCAAGACTTGGGCCACATACGCTTCCATTTAATTGCTAGCTATATTCTGTAGGCATCTACATTTACAGTGGGTTGTAAATTGTGAATGTAATGCTACAAATGTAAGTAACTGCCTGAACACCACCTAGCGTATTTTGGGTGGTGTAATTTAATCATAACAGAGTCAGGAAGCTCACACCTTAATGCTCTACCCCACAGAATGGACAAAAAAAGGTTTTAAATCAAGCAGTTCTAGTTGAGGTCTCAAGTGTAGTTGCACAAGAGTGCACAGTTGCTTCCAGAGTGCAGCCATTGTATGTTTCCCCCAAAAATATAGGGATGAAGGAGAGGTGAGTGGTGCCTGCTTTGTTCCACTAGCTCTAGAACCTCCTCTTCGAACAACAGCTGATATAAACACTCATTAGGACAGCAATTATTCTCTCCCCTAGGTGCCCTGGTGCCAGGTCACCCATAGCTGCTTACACCCTGATGGTGGAGGTACTTTCCCACCATGATGGAAATAGGATTTTAAGCCTGCTTCACACAGGAATTGAGACAAAATTAGCTTTCCACGTCTGCCAGCTGGCATCATGTGAGGAAGCTGCATCTCCCAGCACTGTAGATCTCACTGCAGCTAATTTGGGGCTAAGGTTTTTTTCTGTAAGGTGGCAGAACAGTACTCTTACCTTGGATAATCAAATAATCACTGCATTTAGCCATCACAAAAATGGTTTTAACAGACTACTGCTGAAATCTAATGAACTGTTTTCAAACCTTCCAGAATGGAAGCCTTACTGAGAGGAAAAAAACATAAAAAGAAAAAAAATTCTGAATTAATGAAAAAAATGCACAAAGCAAGTATCTGCAAAATTCCTACTCACCTCTCCAAAGACTGAAGTGCTTTCTTGTTTAATTCATCCTGAGTGCTCTTTAGAGTAGCTGTAGGACAAGATACAATACCATTTAAGCGTTAATTCAATGTTTCAGATCAAATAAATAAATGTATAGAGTATTCAAACTGGGAGCATAAAAAATATGGAAATATCTGTGTGTTTGTGCATGCGCTCATTTTGACATGAATTCTCAGATTCATTTTTATTAAAGATTATTTTAAGTCCTTTGTTTGAAATACTGAAACATTTTTTATTTATATATGCCACTGAAGGGGGCTGGGAGAAGAGGTCAAACACTAACCAGATACCAAGAAAATAACAGGTCTTCAGCCAGACTGCTGCAAATGCTACAAGCAGTAACCTGCATCACATTCTGACTCAGATACAGTACAGAATGTACATATTCACCACCATCCTCACAGGATGGTGCTGCAGGTGTAACTGGGAACACCAGCAGCCAAACTTACAGCTCTGGGACAAAACACCACCATCTTTGAGACCACAACAGACTTCAGGTTACTTCAGATGTGGCATTAGCCACTAATGCCCTTCTTCCATGCCTCTAATTGCTTGATTAATGGATCCCGCCCAGTACACACATGTACCACTGTATAAATTAATTCCTACCTAAAACTAGAAAAGAAAGAGAAGAATCAAGCTCTTGTTATATCTGGGTATATTAAGATATCATCAAGATCAACAGGAACAGAGGAAGAGCTTAAAGGAACATGGTTTTCTCAGATGCAAAACATCTGGAAACCTAGTGATGATTTTTAGAAATATATTGGCTGTCTTGTTCTGGTTCTTGCATGGCAGTTGTTTCTTGTTCTGCCTATCCTGAAATTGAGAGCTATTGATCAACAGCATAAGGAAGTGATGAGTAGTTAATCCATCAGCAAACCTCACCCGTGAATGTATCTGAATTGATACATGAAGTCAGTGTATGCTCCAAAACAGAAAGTTACTAAGTAGTATATAATAATGCAACAAACCCAGTGAAATTCAAGTATTCTTAAAAGTTATTAAGAAGAAAAGACATGTGTTCTTCTGCAAGACCTGCAAATGTAACCAGTTTCTTTGCATTCTGCAATATGCCAGTGAGTGAAATTTTGTAAGTAAATTATTTGTTGCAGTAGCTATGGCAATCAGACCTTTTGTACTTCTAGATCTTTCAACAGTTCTTCAGAATACCAGGTTCATTTGGGAGGAACAGCAATCTTCAGGATTTCCTAGTCATAAAGATCAGAGCTTGCTTAGGTCAAAAAACCTACTCTAAGATAAAAAACTTATCCAAAAATTTGTATTTTAAATAATAAATTTTAAGACATGGACTTTCATGTAAAATGCAGCATCTGTTAAAAATATATCACTCTCAGTAGCCTTAAATCAGGCTGCAAAATACTGGATAAAGGTAACAAAGGAAGAAAATTTGGAAATAAATTAAAGAACCAAGACTGATGTAAACAAAAATGCTTGAGGAGACATTGAAAAGGATTTGATCATACCTATAAACATCCCTACAGAAAAAAATCTGACATTCTGTTTCTCATGAAAACTACCATTCTTTAAATTACAGAGCAATTCTGAATATGTCACACCATAAGAAAGACTGAAAGAAATATTGCCATTTGTCCCTCAAATTAAACACCAAATGGAAAAGCTAGAACTTTGAGCTTCCACCTGTTAAGACATTTGACTAATGTTCAGTTTGTAGTTAGAAAGAACACAAAATATGTTGTGGAAATGATGTGATTACTCTGCAACTAGTCAGCTTTGCCTCTGCATTACTGGGAAACAGCATGTGGCTCCCACCTCCCACAATATGGACTGCATATTCAGCTACCACAAAGTTGGAATGCTGTGTGCAGCTTGGCATCCCCAACAGAAGACATGGTTCCATTGGAACAGATCAAAAAAAGGGCCATGAAAATGGTTGGAGGGCTGGAAGACATCTCCTATACAGAAAAATTGAGAGAGTTGTCATTTTCCAGTCTGGAGAACGGTCAAGGGAGGCCCTCTTAATACTTCAAGGGGGTTTTTAAGAAAGACAGAGTTATTTTTTTTACCAGGTCCTATAAAGACAGGACAAGGGGCAATGGTTTTAAACTAAAAGAGGGAAGATTTAGATTATATACAGGAAGAAATTCTTTACTAGGAAGGTGGCAAGACTCTGAAACAGGCTGCCCCAAGATATTGGAGATACCCTACCCCTGAATTATTCAAAGAAATCTGCAACCCACTTGTATCACTGAGAAGCTCTCACTTCAGACAAAGAAAAGTTTGCACTAAGGAAACCGAGCCTGGTGTGTCTGATTAAACTTTTAAAATTTGTGCTCCATTCTCCCAGGTCAATGGTATCAAAGAATTCTTCAGTCCCTACCCAACTTTACTTCCTGTGAGCACGGCTGCTGCAGTTCCGTCAACTAAAACAAAATATTACTTATTACTAAGATTAAAATAAGCTCCAAAAGCAGTCTGACCAATGGGAGAGTGGCACAGGGGAGTTTCTGAAACCTGTAAGACTTTTGCAAACGCCACTTGAGCAGCCCAAGATTCACTTACTGAAGCAATCTGGGTTTTTAAAGCAGCTACAGCCATACTAAAATTCAATAGGCTCTTCAGCAGCATTTTGTACCTAAATACAAAGCTCTGGATCCCATTTAGAAACATAGGAGGACAAGCTCTGTCTTAGTAAAGCAGTTCGAGCACAGCAGGAGTGGTGAATGCATGGAATGAAACACAGTGCCAAGGATCAGAATCAACTCCACAAACATGGGGACAGGAATCTAGTTCTAATCTTGTCCAATGGATTGAGCACCCATTAGCAGCTGAAGCACAGTCAGGTCTATTTATGTAAAACATTTGTTTTGTGGGAAAGGATTCAGTTTGTGCAAAAGTGTTCCTGTATGTGACATTCTTACTCACAATGTAAGAAGTAGGGATGACAGATAAATGGGCTTCATAAATAAATTTCTGATCCAAACTAAAACAATGATATATATGCACCCTTTTGCAAATATGACTGAGTTTCAGAAATTACTCCCTTGTGTTAAGACATCTAATATGGCACAACATACATTTTAAGCACCCAGAATTATAATTAAAAATTGCATGTACTGTTATTTCCAAAAGCAAAGACCAAGTTTGTTCACTAATAATTTATTGACTTCGGGGGTGGGGGCTTAACATTAACCAGTGCTGTCAGTACACTGACTGTGAAATCCACAAAGACTGATAGAATGAGTTTCTAATTCAGTCCCTGATCCATGACCTTCTACCAAAATTCTAAATGAAAACAGAGATACAGCACATTCATCTCTGAAAAAAGAATGAGGGACTGTTACATATAAAAAGATTTCATAATTTGTGAGATGGTGATGTGAGGTAAGAAGAGCACTTGTATTTCACAACACATTCTCAACCTAGTCTTTCCTCTTCAGCCTTTGGTAAATTCATGTCACCTTTCCCTGTCTTCAGTGAATTCTTCACCAGACCTAAGGGAGGAAAAGTTGATAGTACAGCTTATGTCAAAACTGGAAGTATGGGAGGAAGAGGAATGGTTTGCTGTTGTCATTCACAACAGACATTGGAAAGTGATCTGCAGAAAATGAACATTAACTATGCACAGGAGGCTTGGGCTTCTAAGACTGAGGCAAAAGTGTAAAAGTGTCAATGACTTTCTCTGAGGACACATCTTTCAGCTACTTCAATGAGACTTATTTCAAGAAACATGTAATTAAACATTAAGAATAAGGAAGCTTTCCAGCATAAGTTTCTGGAAACTTTACTTCCTACAGGAGCTTTTTGCAAATCACAAAGAAAAGGCTTTAATACAACTCCTCGGTGCCTTTGTCACACAGGAGGAGAAATAATTACTAGAAGGTTATATTAAATAGGAAAGTCTAACTTGGATGGAAGGCTGAAAGCTTTAGAAGGAAATTGGGCAAATGTCTCAAACACTTGGCTACTACTGAAAATACTGATTGAAAGTCATCTCAAGTAGAAAGTTACAGGAATCTCATATATACACACACAGAGATGTTTGACTTGTCTGCATATACCAGTAAGAACTGGTATAAATACAATGATAAACAAGATTGACAACATGAGACAGGATTACATCACAGAACTGCTGTCTTTCAACATGTTCTAGCTTTGCTTCCTTACTGTAATATGCTCTTTTTTAACAATGCTAATGAAAAATGTCTTGCTAGTGCAAATTTGACATTTTCTAGTGAAACACAGTTCCATATTCATGACCATCATATGTATGCTTTTGAAGGACTTAATCCATTTTATTAAAATATAATCTGCAAAATGGAAATATATTCTTCCTACTTCCCTCCAATACTGAGTGACTTGTCCTGTTGTCTTAAAGGCTAGAGATACAGTGAGAAGGCAGATATATTCCACTGTTTCAAAACATAAATGAGAGGCTAATCTGAAAACAATCCAAGGCAGCTGTTGTGAAGACTCTTTGTTTTACATTAAAAAGGACACAATATTGAAGTAGTCTCTAGAAAACTCAGGAGGTTCCCAGAAAAAGTTTCCAACTCATATTTTGCTACGCCAAAATATTTTTAGAGCTAGAGTACAGTACATGCCTCTCCATTCTTTAGAAACCACCTTCTTTTCATACTGAAGTTTACAAAGAGATCATAAGGGGCTGACATAGAAAACCTTCTATCCCCAAAAATAGTCTATGGGATCTTGTATAGCTTTACAACAGTTTAAACGATGTCTACGCAAAATGCCTTAAAAACTAGGCTGTTAAGTAGAACTCTATTCCTAGTGGACTTAAAATATATATGTACGACAAAGTTCAGGCTAGGAAGGACATACTTTTTGACATGAACTTTCTAGGGAGAACTACTCTGAGGCAGAGAAACGGAGAACTGGAGAGAGCTGCAGTGCCTGTAAGCCTCCATGATGAAAAGCAGTTCTCAGAACAGCTGATCAGATATGGCTGCCTAAAAAACTACACCAACTTGTGCTACTGAAGAGCACAAGAACACTTTCTCAGATACATGCCTTGCAGAATTCTGGTGTAAGTTGCAAGGCCTGCATATTCCATGATAGCATGACAGAGTAATTTTAGCTTTGATTCAGCCTTCTTTGCTGAATCAACTTTGAAATAGTTGGTTTGTTTCTATGGAACCTCTATGAGAGAAAAGCCATTGCTTGCATGAGGGCACGACTGCCAAAATCACTAGGAAACAAACCAGCTCAGTCATTATTCAAAGAAAATGTGTTAGAACATATCTTCTGCCCATGTTAGAAGTCACAGAATAAACAAAGACTGTTCCCACCTGTGAGCTTGATGAAGGTCAGAGCTAGAACTCTCCCAAACACTTCAAGCCCTACAAAGCACCAAATCTGCAGAAGCCCCTTGTCCACTCATTCAAGATCCAAGGAAGCAGAGTTAAAATAAAATACTTCTTACATTCAGTGGTCTGTTTCTAGTTAACATCCACATGTACCAGCAAGGTAGATATTTTTATCTTGTTTACTTCTAAGTAAAAGAAACTCCATCACAGAGAGGTTGAATCTCTGTGGGGAATCAGTATCATGCCAGGAACTGAAGCGAGACATTTCTGACTCCAGTTCTTGGATTGTATTTCTTTATGATTTATGAGTGGGTGACAAAAATATGAAAACAGATGGAAAAATTGACTTTTGGTTGTGTAAATTAAGTGAAAAAAATGTATTACAAATATTCAAGTAAAACATACCCAGCATTGTCAGCTACACTCAGATAATCACCCCCTAAGTAATGACCTGCATATCTCCCTTTACCTAATAACTTCATTTTAATTACCACAGAAGAAGCTCTCTGAGCATGTGAACAATTCCCATTTATCTTGTGATCTGATTGCTTTTCAATGTCTAGTCAGCACTGAAGGCAGATTTTCCAATAAATTCCAATTGCTTGCACTGAAGACTTGGAACAAATGCTCTCCATGTAATACACTTGACAAAGAAGTAACTCACCATCAGTAGCTTGAAGGCTGTATGTCAGGCCCAGTGCCAGGTAACCCTTTGCCAGGGACTCTCCAGCATCATCACCCAGGTCTATCACCATTTTAGCAAAGTGTTCTGCTTCTTCCAGCTGCAAAAGAGGTAGGTTGAGACCTATGGGCATTTCCTCTATATTTGCTCCAATAAAATTCACCATTAGCCTTACCTGCAAGTGATCTGAGAGTCATTCACACAAAGGCTTTCAGTGATTCCAGTGAACACTCATAAAAAGGAGAATGTAGAAGGTCAGATGAGCAGATCTTGGTGCACATGCACAGTTTTAAGAAAAGTTTGGGTTTTGCACCCCAAACTGTTTCCAGATGTTTAAGATTAATCAAGGACATGATCTTTTTTTATAGCTTCCCTCAGGCACACTTCAATCATGCAGCCTAAAATGCAAACACTGGATCAGCTGGACTACATATATGATATCCTAGTAGGGCATTGAAAGGTCGAACAGGTTTCTTCCTTCAAAAGAAAACCATTCAGTTTTGCTCTCTGAATTTTTTTAAACCTTAGCAAATTTTACTGTCTTCTCAAACATTAGAATAAAACAAGAAGCCACTAACTTCACCGAAAGCTCTCAGCTGCTGCTTGAAATTCTGTTGCCAAAAGGACACAGAAATTTCAGAACACAAATTTTGATCTGAACTCACACTACCTTGGCAGCTCTGGCTGCACTAACCGCTTTCTGCATCTTTTGCAAAGACACAATTTCCTTGAAAATGCATTTTATATTATAGATAGAGATTGGAGGAGAGAGCAGTCACAATCTCTCAGGATCAGCCTCCAAAGTGATGGAATATGTAAGCTGGTCTCTTCCACTACATCACAGACTCCTCTCCACAGCCTTCCTTTCAACACATATCTATCAGCATCTGTAAAATCCGAGCTACTGGCAATTTTAAATAAAAAGAGTAAGTTAAATGTTATTACAGAATGGAGTGTTTCTCATTTCTAATTTTAAACTCTTATTAATATCACTCACCCATTTTAAGTAGAAAAGACAAAGACCTGTACACTGTATATTCATTGAAAGGTTAGGTTGGAGAGACACTGGCAAAACTTGTAAGGAATGCCTGAAAGATAGAGCCTACAGGAAGATCTCATTTCTGTACAAGACAGTATGCAGATCCTGTCACCCATAATCAGAGTCATCCCTAATCAAGAAGCAGACACCATTACACTATCTGACAAATCCTCCCTTTGGAAACTTTAATTACATCACAACTGACTTTATGGCATGGGGTTGTTTAATTTTGAGAAAGTACTTTTTTTGTTGGAAATCCACTGAGTTTAGACACAAGTACTGTGGATGTGTGCCCTCTTCATACTCAGCATTGTCAGACTTCAGCACCTCATGGCTCCTTAACATCTAAAATGACTCACTCATAACCACCTGGAATTAAAATGCACCATCAGACAAGAAATTGGCCTTCTGCAGTGATCTGTTAATACACTACCTATGAACAAAATCTACTTGACTTGATGTAGCATCCTGTCAATGAACCTCCTAATCCCATCACTTGAAAACATTCAGATGACAACATTAACTAATGGCTTCATAAACAAACCACCTGGATTTATTAGATGATAGCAAACATTAGAAGAAAATTACTTTTAACATAAACCTGAAGAAAGACTGAAAACTGCAAGTGAAGAAACAAATCTCCACTGCTTGAATTTCTTCCCACTGGTGCAACTCCCTGAGGCCACAGGATTCAAACTAGATGTAGAACAATTATTCCCCAATTTCTGAAACCTCAGATCAGTCAGTCCAACAACCAACACATATGTTACCATCAAACCCTTTCCTGAAAGCATTAGTGCTCCTCATTGCCCCATCAGCTGTGACTGTGGAGGCCACTAACTGACACAGGAACACCTCTTGAGGAATACTGGGACTCACCAAGTAAACTGCAAGGCCTGTCTTTGAGGGTGTAATCCAAAGCTTACCAAAACCACTGGAAATAGTCCCACCTACTTCAGCAATGTTGAGATGGAACTGTTAAGCTCTGATCACATCAGGAAGACTGAGATTTGTTTCAGATTTCTTAACCTGTCAGTAGCCCTAGCAGCTTCCCTGCCACATACTGAAATGTGTCCTGGATCAGAGCCTAGGACAATGAAGAAGTGAGCCATGACTTGCCACATAGAAAAAACCCAAAAAACAGAACCCACAAATGAACAACAAAACCCCCTCCTATATTATAACTTAATTCTTCATCTCTCAGAAACTTTTACATAAGACATGAAATCTCTGCAGCTTGAAAATTCATTATGCACCTCTTTGCCACCATAAACAGCTGTATTCTCACTCTCTTTCTTTATTGTTTCTCCTCTTCTACCCACACACACTTTCATCCAAGAAGTGTCCATTAGACAAAGAAAAGAGCTCTACAAGGTATTCAAATGACTAGTGAACAAGAGAATGGGTAGAGTGCATGGAAAAAATGAATGAAAAGTTTGAAGCTGAAATGAAGACAAAGACATGTAAAATTGGAGAGATTTTGTTCCATTGTTTCTCTGAATGGTCACCTGATGGTAATTCCAGTTTCTGACTGGAAATACCTATACTGCACAAATCAGTAGTGCACCATTCAGCCTTCCTGCCTGCCAGTTAGCCAGGGCCATCTGTCAGTATCAGATTAATCTAATGAATGAATAATTAAAACCATAACTTTTCAGAGTGGCTGAAACAGCACTTCTAGCACATTCTTGTGAACATTTATTCATACTAAACCCTAATGGCACTTTGACCAGCCACAAAGATTCTTATGAATGCAAACCTGGGTCAGCTGAAGTCTGCTTTGAAAATAAGTGGCCTCACAAACTCCAGCACAGCTGGTTCTGTTTATGAGAACATTTACTTTTCCTTCTTACAGCACTCAGACACTTCTCCCTGCCAGCCCTGCTGTGGCAGCCATCTGCCCCTCTTCTCCCATTCTCCTACTCTTCAGTCATTCTGGGCAAGTGTGAAAAGCCAAACCTTTCACTCACATCACCCAGTGAGATGTTTCAACTCTCCAGTGCATCAATCTTGCAGATAGCCTAGTCAACTGTGAATCTGGCAAGTACTACCTGAAACAGCAACAACCCCCTTGGGACACATTTGGGGTAATCAACTAAACTGCAAGGACCACCAGACTGCAGTCTGGATAAAAGCTCCCTCTCCATGCACCCAATGAGGGACCAGTAGTGAGCCTGAGCTGTGATCTGCCAGTAAAACTGTGTCTGGGGGGGTCCTTACAGATATGGGGTGCCTTCAGTCTGCACTGTGGAGATGAGAAAGGGAGGAGGGAAGGCCTACCATGTTATTCTCTTAGAAGCAACAAAAAAAGAAGTCTCAAAGCCCTCCCTCCAATCTGGTCCTTACTTTTCTAACATTTTTCTACATACTTTGCACTGAAAAGCTGGTGGAGAGAAAGGCAGCATTCCAGGCTGCAGGGAGAAGCTCCCTGACTCCAAAACTTGCATGCAAGAAAGACAACATGGGGGAGAAACAACCTAAGAAGAACTTTCTGCATTTTAAACTCCACTATATAAAGTGTCAGGAGGCACCTGGAACCCCTCTATCACACCAGAAAGCAAACACCTGGCACCTGGAGAGAGACAGACTGCCAAACTGTGAACTGACACCAATGAAATGGTAATGCTCTGGGGCTGGTTGGGCTTTTTTTTCCCCTTTCACTTCCTCCTTCGTAATTGAAAGAAAAAGAACAGTTGCTAGCTGTGCTACCCCAAGGGATGTTTCCCCTGGTACAGAGAGTGGCTGTTCCAGCCACCACTGTTATTTGGCCACAGATTTTGGTGTGTGCTCAAGCCAAGCCCGGAGGCATGCTGACAAGGGAGTGCAGAACAGCAGGTGCTGTCCCCTGGCCTATGCCACCCAGCTGGTGTCCAACTGCCACCCAGATTGTTTTTAGAAAAGTTCAAGCCCTACCCCACTGAATCAACAGCTTGCAGGACTAAGTAGAAATTGCACTTCTCACCAGCATACATTTAGAGTAACTAAGGACAAACAAATCAGTGATGTACAGCAGGATGAAAACAGCATTTTAATGTGCCAAAAAAGAGGAGCACACTAAGGAGGAGGTACAGAATGCATCAAATAACACCAGACTTAGGACAGCAGACAAGGTTAATGAAGCAGGTGAATTTGGACACCCATGACACTGAACAATACCCAAGCACTTAAAAGATCAAAATCCTACAGAATGAGTATGTATACAAAATTACACATGATGTTAACTAGTTAAATTGACCTCTTAGCATTTTAATTACACTGGGTTGTAGCTATAGAGACTAATTCAAAGAGAAGAATATAAATATAGTGAAATGAGAAAGACAAGAAGAAAAATGCATAGGAAGAAGGTGGTCCATAAGGCCACTTAGTCTAATGAAAAGGTTTTGTCCCACAGCTGTTTACAGCACACAAAGCCAATCATGTTATGTATGTCAGAAAAAAAAATCCTGTGCTTTCTATTGCTGGTCTAGTCAGCATTTGCTCTCTGTGTCACCATTGTTAAGCCCACCAATTTAGTCAGTGTAAACTCAGCCCCCAGCACTTAGGAATACTCAGGCCTTTCCTCCACTGCAGCTGAAGTGGTTTGTTCACAAAGGCAATGTATTGATGACAAAATTATTGGTTATTTTTAATGTCTAAAACCCACGGGATTGCCCCAGAACAGCAGTGGTGATGTAATCAAGAATGTCTTTTAAAAGACAGAAGAAATACCTAGCAGCTCCTTGCCCTTCCCTGCTTTCTCAGCAGCCTCTCACTCTGGTGATGCTGATCCTCTCAGATGTCTATCAGCAGGCAGAGTAACTCCAGTAATGGGACTAGATTTCATCTTTTAATATTATTCATACTACACTATGACCTAAGCATTTCCACGTGACTCCAGGGCTCCGAAGTGACTGGGTACCAGCACATGCATAGCATTTATTATCTGCAGTGGCAGGGTCAACAACAGACAGAAGGGGAGAGAAGCACCCTCTGATGAAGCGCTCTGTGAAAGTAATGAATGGTAAGCTGTCACCTCAGGAGTATGCAGCTCTAAATCTGCATCCTGCCAACGCCCCTGACACACACACACCATGACACCCCAACCTCATGGCATGTCCCACTCAGTTTTTATGACTCCATGCACAGCCTGCCCTGGCCCAACACCACCACTTCTCCCTTTCCCTGACTGATGGCATGATCTCTGCCTTCCCAGCAAAGTGCTGCAGTACAGCACTTGGCTGTGCACACTAGTTCAAAAAAACAAGGGAAATATGAGGTACAGCACCATCCTGTGCAGCTTTTGCCATGGGACAAAGTCCTCTGAAAAGCTTCTATTAGCTGATAATACAGGCATCATTTGATGCTACACAAGCTTAGCACACCACCACTATTGCTATTATATCAACTGTGGAGCAATTAAAATGATAGACATGGCCTCATGTCTTCCTGCTTTTTGTCAGAGCGGAGTTCTAGAAGTGTCAAGCCCATCCTAGGACTACAGTCCATTTTGCTCTATGTGTGTTTACAATATTTTCAACATGCCTCCATTGATATCAATTGAGTAAAAGGCAAAAGAAAGCATCAGGGTAACCCTAAACACCTCTAACATGGCTCCCAAAAATGGAGAAATTCAGTATTTAATGCTTGTCTGTAGGAAGTTCCATTTTTAGTATTTTCACAATACCTGCCATAACAGCATCCTGGAGAACCTAGATTAGTAGTGAAATTAACAGAACCGTACTATTAAAATATTAAAAACAACAACTCATACTGCAACTCAGTCATTGCCAAAATAGGCAAGTGAGCATTCAGCTGAGACCATGCCAGGGAAGGCTGAGTGAAAGAGGAAATTGCAGCAAGCCTTTTTGTGAGCAGAACTCTGAATTTATAGTGGAGCAAGGCAAAGCAACCTCAGGATGGACATGTTCTAGTGCAAGCTACCTCAACTCTTCTATGGAAATTTAAAACAATACTCTGAACTACAATAGTCAAAGACTTCACAGTGCATTCTGGAAAGCTAAAAGACAGCTGGCTAAACACAAATGGGCTTTGTGTTTGCTTGATAGAATCATCCATGTGCAAGTCCAGCCAACTGCTGTGCTGAAACCCCAGCAAGCTGGAAGGTTTAGCAGCAAGTTACCTCAAAAGTAATTCTGAGCCTACTACAAAAGCATTTAAAACACCTGTGTAATAGTTTAGATACAATACAGAGGTTCCAACTTTGCTGGACAGATTTGACTGCATCCTGACCATACAAATGTGGTTTACATATGTGCATTCATTTTGAAGCTTTTCTGGTCCTCCAAGTCTACTGGCTTAAGCTTTAGAATTAATGAAGTATTAATTTATTGTTTACAGTGGATTTTTTTGATTACCTCTAATTCTGAAAAAGGGAGCCAAAACAGTGCTTATGCCACTCAGTTGTTTACTGCAGGCCCACTCCTAGAAGCTAGCAGTTGATGGGGCAGATCATCTGATGTAAGCCAGCAGGGTACCCCTAACATGCCAGCAGAGTTCTGCCAACTTGCATCAGTTAATGATCTAGTCATACTGCCACAACAGAAGCTGGGGGAGGCTCAGCTCTTTTCTGCATCAGGCTCTGCTACATATTGATTTGCATGGCACTGTATGAATGCATCCACGTTTTCACTTTGATTTGTTCTGCACTGAGAGATTATTTCATAGATGTGATCAGAGCATCCTCAATGTTGTAAATCATTATAGTATATTTCAATTAATTTTCTGTTTTCCTTGCTCTTAAAGCGTGCTGAGACACCATGTACAGGGCCAGCAAAATGACTTAAGTGATCACTAGATTAATCATGAAAGAAACTGTTCTGTGCTTCTCATGACATTCTGTAATTATCCATCTGCATAAATGTTGTATTTTGGGGTTTTTTTTATTGCTAGTAGCTGAAAGAAGACTAAAGTACTGCTTGCCCATGGGCTATAAACAAACTGGCTACAGTACTGCACCACACAGTAGACAGATGCAGGATATAAATTAGCTGCTTCATTTGGATAAATGGTGATCTGATTTCACCCTTTTCCTGCCTAGCCAGAAATCAAGTACACAGATATATTTCCTAATTGAAAAATTAATAATATTTTATATGTTCTGAAAAGGAAGATGTATTTGAATATTTGTAACTGCTAATATTTGTCCATTAGACTGTTCCTGTCCCATGTCTATCTTCCTTTCTATTTATACTGGCATTGATCAGCTTGTTAACTTCCAGTTTAAATTATTCAATTCTGTTTTGATTGCCATGTAATTTAAATGCAAATAATTACTGTAAGGATGACATTTAGAAAAACAGCTCTGCTAAGCAGGAAGGTCTTTATTAGGCACAGGAGTCTGGCAGTAATATCAAAAGCACCCCTTTGACTAAGAGATGTGGGAACCTATCATTTCAGTTCTTTTAAAAGATGATCTGATTTCCCTCAGACTCCCCTTAATTAAAACCCTTCTATACCATCATCAAGTTTGCTATGAGGGTAAAGCATAGGCCACTGACTGTAAAGAATGGGAGAGGGAATATTTTTAATTTGGTTTTAGTTCATAAGGCTGTGCTCTAGATAACTGCATTAAAATTGCCTCTTGTGAAATCATGATTTTATTTCATAATACCCCAGTTCTGAGCCAGGGTCAGTTTGAATAACACTGAAAAGCATTTCACACAATAAAAAAGCAGTACATAGAAGAAAAAAAACCCTCTTGCTTTGAAATAATCAAAACCAGCTCACTTTTCCCTTCTCCCCTTGCCTTTGCTACTTTTTAGGGTTAGCCAGTTGTTTTATCAACTCTGTCATGTATGAGAAGTCTGGACATACTGCATTGCCCAAGCTGGAATTGAATTAGTGTCTCATTGTCTTCTCAAAGTGACAAGGTATTTTTATATGCTAGCTGTGCATTCAAAACTTCATCAGACATACTAAGAACAGCATTCAACACAGCTGTAATGCCTCACTTTCACACTGTTTCAACACCTCTAAGAATAAAAAAAAACCTTATTTACTTTATTTTAAAAATAACATTCACTGTGAATTTTTTTATATATCACTGAATGACTTTCAGCCTTCAAAATTTAGAGACTGAGCTATGGACAGAAGAGAGTTAAATTGCTCCAAATGTAGAGCAGAAGTAGGTTGGGTAGTTCAGCAAGGATTCCCTAAAGGTCCTCAGACTTGAAGATTTTTCCTAGAAAAAGATGCTGCCCAGATTTTGCTGACTCACATATAAGCTTAACCACTATAGTTTGAACAGTGTAGTTCATTCAAGAACACACACAACCAGACACCCTCCCTGACAGTGGTGTAAACTGATACACCTCAAGTTTAGCTGAACAGCAGCTTTCATCAGACAGGGATGTAGAAGGTGGGCAGGTGGGAACAAAATAAAAGCAAATTGGAATAGAAGCAAATTGGCTTCTACAACTTTTCTCAAAGATCTGTGCAGATTATTCTGGCATTTTCTTTCATGTTTTCTTGCATCTTGTTTTACTTCTGTTCAGCAATTGTAATCCTTCACTGACTGCAGGGACACCTCGTGGTGAGGACAGGTGAGAACAGCAGGCTGCCATTCAGTTAATTAAACCAAGTAGAGAAAGAATGACAGATGTTTCTGTTCCTTTAGATAATCAGAATTTCACGGGCACACAACTTCCACTCCCACTCTGCTTCTGGGGCGTACATTAACACATCCAGAACACAAAACATTGACACAGCAACTTCAAGAACAAAGGACTGAGTTGTCCAGCAGACCTGGACTATCCAACAGTCCACTTATAACTATTAACTTGTGTCCTGCAGGGGCTACAAGAGTGGCTGATTCGATGCGACACTCAGTTGAAGCAGCAGTCCTCAGAATGGTTGGTATGGCTTTCTCCCCTCCTCCTTTCTTCAATGTGCCAGCAAAACACATTTAAATGACTCACTACAAAATTTCTTGCAGGGATTTTCATTTTTTATAAAGGGCACACATGTGTGTATGATTTTAGCAGGGATTCCCTTTCTCCCCATTGCAACTAGACTGTGGCACTGTCACTGCAGCACCTAATTCCGTTACATAATAGGAATTGCATCAGCTTGCTTACCCAGTGCAGTGACCCAATGCAGACCTTGGCAGCCAGCAGAGGCACGGTGGGATCTGTAGGTCGCAGTTTAGCACACTCTCTGAGCACTGACACGGCATATGCCGACTGGGGGAGCGGGAGAGAGGAGGAGGAAATAAAAAAGGCTGATTAGACAATGCTGTTGAGAGTCCATGCAGAATATTGCAGTGACATGTACAAAGAAATGCTGTGGAGAAAAGAATCCCATGTCAGCAACAAGTCAGCAACTTTACTGCCACCTCCACACGCAGCCGTGTGTACACACACGCACACACTCACACTCTTCCCACGCTCAGAGGAAACACGCCCAACAGGCAGCTCTGTCTGTGCACTTCACAAGACACAGTTTTCCTAGCTATCAATGCACTGGTTATTTTAACTCTGCCCTCCCAATACACAAGAATTCTGCTGCAGTTTTCCTTGCATATAATCATCTTCCAGTAAGCCAGAAGAGACCATAAAGAGTTTATCCTCCAGTACATTCATATTTTAGGCCAATTTCACTCAGAGAGGTTTGTTCAGCTAAAGCAATCTTGCTCAGTAGGTTGTTTTGTGTCTTCTCCAGTTCCAGAACATACAAGAAAGCAACTGGGACCCCACCATACAAAGGGTGGATGCAAATCAATACACTGTTCACTGGGTGGCCCAAGCACATGTTAGAAAGAAAGCCCATAAAGCTCTTGCTGTCTTTCTGGTGTTAGGTTACCATTAATGAGGATGTTTTCCAAGATTAGCACTTGCAAAGCCCTTTGGATCTGATGTGCTCTGCAAACATTGTGTTTTACAGCACACATTCATGGCTGCCACATTTCAGATGCTTTAAAGGGGAGTGAAGAAAGCTCTGGTCTGAGGCAGTGATGAGAAGGCCACCTCAGACAGCAAGAAGGTGACAGGAGTTGCCCTACCAGAGACTCTCAGCCCATTTCAACCAAAACACAGTTTGTCTTACGTTTAAACCTCACTAATGACCCTAATCCACTCAAATTTTCTCACGCTTCAGCTCAAGGGGTATCTTGGAATTTCTCCTTGCATGCCTGTTTCCTCCCAAAGTCTTCCACACAGTCCCAAGACACAATGTTCCTGCTCAGAAGAATGTTAAATAGTCATGGCCTTTCTATATTTCAGAAGAGTGGCAACAGAAGCTTGCAAAGCCCAACAATCTGCTATTCCTATCAGGTCCTGGGTGTCTCCTCCTGACTCCCAGGAGCTCTCCCTACCAGAACTCTGATCCACACATACTCTGGTGACTGCTGCAATCCCCTGCAGCAACACCACAGCTTCACATTCCCACTGTCGATCAGCACTTTCCCCCCGCCACCACATCAAAGTGGGCTGCACCTGCCAGCTCCTTCCTCCACAGATTGAAGGTCCACTTCTTGCTACTGAATTAAAAAGCTTGATTAGGAATTTGCTTGGAAGGGAACCAGGAAAAATGGAAAGCCAGATCTACACCAGCCATGCCCACCTTAAGGCAAAGAGGGGTTCCATAAGCAATGCAGCAGGGAGCAAATCCTCCTGCTTGAAAAGCTTGGGTACCAACCTTGTGGTCTGAACAAGAGCAGCAGCACACCCTATATTCTTCAGGTTGCTCACACTTATGTAGAGCATTAGGCAGATCAGTAAAAGTGAGGAAGCACTTTGCTAATTTAAAATTCAAAATGCACACTTTGCCTAAAGTCAGAAGGAAGCTTGTCTCAGACCAAGGATGGAAATCAATAAACTTTGTCCTAGAGCTTGAACCATTACTTCATCCCTCTGAGAAACAAAGATGTGTAATTCAACCCTGAGGTGCAGGGACACACACACTGCTGTGCTCTGTTGCCATGAGGTGACTAGCATCCCTCAGAATGAACCTCCCTGACACCTGTTTGTTCAGAACAAGTGGTGTCCCAGGTTTAAGTGGCATCTTATTCCCCCCTCACACAAAATGCACTGAAAGCAGCTGGTATTCCCAGCAGCATGATGGGAATGTGCTGGAAATCCAAGCATAATCCCATAAGGCACCTAGGCCAGATGATATCTTCTTGCCCTCCTACCTGTATTCCAGATCCACAGGTGTATCCAGAAAATAAATAAATGTGACAGCAGGACAATATGCACTGTGACAGCCAGTATATCTGCAACTGAACCCCACCTACCCTTGTCATCTCACCATGCAAAAGTGAACTGCAAAGGCCAGATATGTAGAAGGCCAGACACTGTCCAGAGCCAACGCTTGCAAAAACAGACACAAGCTCAACCCAGCGGTCATTTCTCAGCTCCCCTCCAGCACTGCAGCTGCAGGGAAAGCAGGAGGCACCTGGGAGCTGGTGGCTGCTCTCCTGTGATCAGCACAACCAGCCCTAGCACAAGCCAAAGCAGTGACAGGCCTGTCCTAATTTGGGCCACAGCTGCAGGACCTACACCAGAAGAGAAGTGACACAACACGTTCCTTGCCAGCTCCTCTTGAACTCTGCTCCCTCCCTCCCTGCAGGACAAGCCAACACCCCAGCCTCCAACACCTCACACCACAGAGCCCTTGCCATGTCTGTCCTGCCCCAGGCCGGCTCAGGAGGCCACTGCAAAGCAGTGAGTGCTGCACAGGAGAAGGGCCCACCTTGTGCCTACACACAAACACCTCAGGTGTCGAGTCACTTCATTACATATGCACTTGAGAGCTTCTGAACATGGATTTACAGAGCAAGAGGCACAGCTTCTGCACTGCTCCTAAAACATTTACAAAGTTATGTCATTTTAAAGAAGTTTATAAAATTTGCAGCTAAACATATGGAGCAGAAGTGGTTTTGGAAACAGGGTGACATGAAGCCTTTCTCCCCAGCTGCATTTTAAAAATTCAAGAGATATTATATAATTTCACCTTGAAAAATTTACTCAGCAGATATTTTATACAGATGATGAAAATATGAGTCAAGGAATGACAGGAGAAATAATATCCCACTCCCACAGTGACCTTACTAAGAGGAGACTGGCATGACATGTAATATCAAGGTTTCTTAAAGATACTAATTACAGACATTAATAGCCAGGGAAAAAATATCAAGCATTCATTATTGAATATCATTGGTTTGTAAAAATATTTAATATGAAACAGTGTTTGTGCAACATTGAAATAATCTGGTAATTAAAATGTACATATTCTTCCACTTAGTGTGGGTGGACCAGGCAGCCAAGTGCATTGTTTGTGAGATTCACTGCAAGGCAATAATTTGATTTATTGGTGAGGCATGTTTTGAGAAGAGCAGAAATTGAATTCCAAGTGAGCACATGCTTCCCACTCATGATTCTGAGCTTCAGAGGGGCTCACATAATGATTCAAGCCAGGATTTATGGTGTTTCTATTTAACTTGCTAATTGCTGGCTTAGAATGACTGCACTAGAATCAGTTCCCTAGGACTTCAGAAAGCTAGGTCTCATTTGGCCTCTCATCTAGAGCAAGGAATCACAAGGAAGCTATTGGAGAAGGATGGAGAGGACACCTCTCCCCCTGCATAATTATGGCAGCCACGGTTTTCAACCCTATAAGGGAGTAAAATGTAAAGAAAAATAACTATCCAAACACAGAACACAACTCCCACTCCCTATTTACTAATTCAATAATGAAGCATGGAGGCATACTCCTCAAAGATGTTTGCACATGGGCAGAAGGGAACCAAGAGCATCCTACAGTTAATCTGCTTTCTTCCTTTTCCAAATGGCTCAAGAGAATTTGCCATCAGTTATGGTAAACCCATAGATGCTGCCCAAATGGTTTTTCTAGGTTACTCCAACACAATTCCCATTCTTTTCCCTCCTTTGCTCTCTCACCATACCAAAGCAACCAGAGAAGGAAATAAGAGAGCCATTTTATATTTAGAAGATAAAGAAAACACAGATATAAGTTAAAGGAAGAATTATTTCCAGACAGTAAATAATGTCTGACAGACTTGTGACGTGCCATGAACAGTTGCTCTTCTCTTGCACAGGTTCCATAAACCTCCCTAGTTTTTTGCTTCTTTGCTACTTTTCAGCCAGAAGGAAAAATGTTCCTCAAGATGGTGTGTTGGTAGACAGCCTCCTTCCCAATTTACCTGGCAGTTTAGTACACAAATGAATTTCTACAACTAGTGCTGCTGTATTTCTTGCATCATCCTGCCTAAAAACTGCACTATCTCAAAGGGATTGTGGGGAAGTGGAGGAAATATTTCATCCCAATGCAAGAATTATTATTCCCTGTGTCCTGGGATTCACAGCCATTCAGATACAAATGACCTTGAACTGACACAGAAAGATGAGAGAATGAGCAAGCAATTGAGAACTCTGCAATCAGTAGTTTTGCTGTTAGCTTTCACTGAATTTAGAGATTTCTGTGAATCCCAGCACGAACATTATTCCCCTAAGACATTTACTTCTCTTAACACAAGAACTGATTCCATCCCTTTTCTTCTGCTTTGTGTTTATCAAATTAGAGCACTGGAGTTAAGCAGCTTCAAATACTCCCTCTTAAAAGCACCTCTTACATTCTAAGATCTATAAGCACACATTTGTACTTGCTAATGTGACAAACACCTCACTTCACACTTTCTGTCAAGAAAAGAGAGTTAAGCCTGAAGGCAATTATAGAGCCCACCTAGGTATTCTGCTCAACAGCCAGGCATCTTAGGAAATTTCCATTTTTGTACTATCTACAGCACACAGACAAACTCCCTTCTAATCTTTCCTTTGCACCAAAGGAAACCAAACTATTGAATATCCCCAAGATAGCTGACCTTTGTAACAGGATCTTTAACCAATGAATGTTCAATATTTTAACTTTCATTCCCCAGCAATGCTATTTAAGGAGCCATCCGAGGCCTCTGCTGCTCCCAAGGTTCCTGCCTGCAATACAAAGAGAAATGTACTTTTTTTTCTTTTTTTTTTAATGTCAGTTGCCTAGCAACCAGCCTAAGCTTTTGCAAGGATACCAACAGAAGGAAGAGCCTAAATCATAAAATTTGTCTGCTGTTGCTGCAGAATTATGTATTAAATATATTTTTAACTTTCCTTCTAACCTTCTGGAAAGCTGTGTGTTGGCAATACAGGCATGGCTGAGTCAAACTTGAAGCTCCTTG